GAAGCCTCCTGCATTTTTCCAACTACTCTGATACATCGTACATGGCAGGGCAGAGTGCCCTAGACAAGTTGGCAGGCCGATGTACCAGGGGGATGGCTGGTTCTGAGCCATCCCCCTGTTACAGTCCCTTATATGGGGCCTGTCAGATCTGACACCCTGTTCTACCTTCAAGACCAGTTCCACAAGATCCTTGAACAAGTCATGTGCAGAGCTAATCCCCAGCATGGGGAGTCAAAAGAGAAGGAGTGAGCTACCTCTTGTTTTCCATCCTTTGATTCTACCCCTTGTTAAAATGTCTTGGTGGTTCAGAATTTCAACAGTTGTTCACAGAAAAATATTCAGCAAGATTCTACCCTTCTTTCTGACCATCAAGCCTGCTATTGATTGAGATTGTTTCAATGCTATCAAAACATTCTGATTTTATAATGTAAACTCATTTCAACTGTAACATTTTGATTTGTTTTATAAAGGTTGAAAGACAAGGAATCAAAACAATACATTTTGACTTCTTCCTGTCAATTTTTTTTTTTGTTGAAATCAACTTCTTTCCATGAAAGAATGAAATACCAGTTTAATTCTGGAAGTTATTCCATTACATTTTTTTTTACTGGTTTTGTGAAAGGTGGATGATACTGTAAGGGGAAATGGAGAAAATAAGTTGTTTTAAGGTAGGATGAGAAGATCATTCTGTTTGTGCAGGGAAATTTTAAGGTAGAATGACATTAACCACACTAGAATTTGCCACACTAGCCAGAAATGCAATAAAACAAGTACCATGACTTTGGAAAAAAAGCAATAATAGATTTTGAATGATCTCAGATGGTTAGGAAGTTGGATTTATATTTCATATGAGAGAAAATATTTTTTAACTAATGCAACAGCCCATGGTACCATACTAGGGGATTTGTTCATTGTTTAGTCAGAGAGATACTACTGATAGCTGGCTCACCAAGCCAACTACTGCTGCCCATGCCCTGACTACTTGGGATGTAATTATTTTACCCAGTTAAAAACTGCCCAAACATTTAACCTGGATCTTAGTCTCTGTCACATTAAGGAGTATTATAATGCAGGATATTGGGTGCACAGTATTCTTGACTTCCTTTCTGAAATGTCTGTACAGTATTGCTGTGATTCCATCATGTTCCACCCCATCAACATGGGAAGTGAGTTTTGTCTGGATCACATGAATTCTCACTATGAAAATCTGAAAACTCAGTAATTTTAACAAAGTATCTGATATTTCACCCATTATCTGAGGTAGTCATCTGGGAAACTCTCAGAACTTCATACAAATATAAATCAACACAGAAACAAAGCCTGGGAATTTCAATTGTATGAATAAAACTGTAGCTGAAGGGATCTGGAAGAGAAAAGGATAAGGAAAATTGTTAAGTCAAAGCCCAGGATGACTAACTGCAGTCCCTTGGGCTAGGGACAGACATTCAAAAAGCCTAAGCCTGAATTGATTTAGTCTTTGCAGGTTAGTCTAACCTGCAAAGCTTGAACCAACTTGGATGTGAATAGACATTCCCTTTTCCCTTCAGTGGCTCAGGCTAGAAGCCAGGGGGAGCTAGAGCAGTCTTCCCTTCACTTGATAGTGCTGAGCTGAGTGGGGCATGGCCAGGCCTTGGCAGGATGCTTTTATTATTCCCCCGCTCTTGAGTAGCTCAGCAAGGAGCTGGTAACACAGCGTTTATCACCCCTAACTCAGTGTTTATCAACCCATTAAGAAAACAAAGCCTCTTTCATGGCTCTTCTTAAACAGATTTTTCAAGCAAGGATGTTAAGCTACCTGTTGATTAGTTCCAAAAGCCTGTCTGCCTTTGTTGTCTCTCACAGCAAGGATTGTAGCCAGCATGTGGTCTGCTAGCTAATGCTGAGGTGTCAGCATAAGGCAGAGGGGTGGCGGTAATAATCCCTGTTTAGCGGCAAAAAGCCAGGCGGATGTTCTGTGCCTGCAGTCTCTGCTGGAGCTGCAGGCAGGGAGCAGAGGGGAGGAGCCAGCCCTGCTGTGGAGCAGAGAGCCCCACCTAGCCCAGCCCAGCCCAGCCCAGAGAGCATGCTAGGATGCTGGTGGACTCTGGTTTATCTTAAACCAGAAAGGGGTCTGGGACAGACATTGCATAAACTAGTTTGACCCAAATCAGTTAAGTCTGATACTGCATTCAACCAGCTTTATCTCCAACTGGTTTCAGCCATTTTCAAACTGTTTTTTTATGCACTAAACATCTGTTCTGTTACAGGTTTAAACCAATTTCTGATCATTTAAACCAGTTTATGTGTAATGTCTGTCCCAAGCCTTGCAGCCTATACAAGGCTGCAACCACTGTGACATTTTCAGTGAGCAAGAGAATATATTTATGGGAAAAAGAATCATCTGGGAAGAACTGAGTTTGAGCAATAGAGGAAACATTCTCACTTGCATTGTGAAGAACAGGCAGGAAGAACTTCATTTTACTTCTCACTCAGGAAGTTTTAGCCAATGAGAAGAACCCAGGTCCACTTTGAAGGCCTCACCACTAGCTGGAAGAGTCTGGCTGTTGAAACTGCACAGGGAGGGAGGCCAGTTTCTTCATTGCAGTGATCGACAAACAGAAGCTGGACCCAACATGAAGAGATGGAGTACCAGGTACCATGGGTGACATCCTGGCCTTATTGAAGACATTTGGCAAAGCTCTGTATGTGGAGGGAGACAGTCATATGACAATCTCAGCCATTAGGCTTCTGTATCTCCAGAAGCTGAGGGAAGGCCAGTATTTAAGCAAACCAGGGTGTGCTCGCTGTAGGATCATCCTTACAGGTATTGCCCTAAGAACGTTCTCCAATACAAAGAAAAAGTGGCACCCATGAGGAGCTGTGGGCAGGCCCTAAGCTAATTTTACTTTCCTTATCTAGTCTGTGAGTGATTTTGTTTATTTTTAAAGGGAGTATTGTCAGTGAAGGAGAGTCCAGCTATTCTTATTTTGGGCATTGAATTGGATGCATAACAGAGCAGTTCTGAACCACAGTCAGCAGCAATACACAGGCTGGTGTCAGCTGCTGCTGTGCCTATGGCCATGGCATGGCCAGCTGCAGCTCTGGTGGTAACTATTTTTGCATGCCCCCACAACAACAGTGACTGAAACTATTGATCCAGTAACCCCACCTCAATTATACTACTTCATTCATTTCCCTGTTCCCTATATGCATGTCCTTTCTTTTAACTTCATCTCCTAGCAGGATCTATTCCCATAATTTAATCCTCCTTTTTTTCTACAAATAGTGTTTGTTCCTTAAAATCAGTTGGCTTTTTATTCATTTACAATCTTAGGCTAGGAACAGACTTGAATTTGTCCCAGGACAAGTGTTTCTTCTGGAACAGAAAAGTCCCTGGAGTAGCATGTACACACATCACCCTTCCTATCAAGGTTTATTGAGCACTGAGCAGCTGATGCAATTCCAGGACAACCATTCAGGTGTATTTTGTGATGTCCCAGGACAAATTGTTAGCACTTCTTATCCTAGGAACATTTTTAGGTTTGTCCTGAAACAACAGACATGGACATCTAAACAATTCCACTTTGTCCCAGGATAAAATTGTTTCTCCCAAGAAAAGTGCAAATTCTGTTTCAAATGCAACATCTGTTTGTAGCCAAAATGTCCTACAGTCCATAAGGGTTGTTTATCATTTTATTCATCTAAGTACTAGGAAAAGGTAGCATGTATGAATGATTGTGAACACGCCATTGCTCAAATTGTGGCAAAACTCCCATTGACTTTATTGGCATAAAATTAGTTCAGCTTTGCAGACCACCACCATCCTAAGGAGTGAGAGCTGTCAACAGTCTAAATATCCAGTAACTTACTAGTCCTAAGGTACAGCACTTCAGAGAAAAAGACAAGTGAACTAGTGAGCCGAACAATGTTTGGGGATCAGAGATGCACTAGGAGCAAGCCATATTAGCAAAGATTTTTTGAATGGTGCCATCAATCCATAAACCTGCACCTATTTATCAGATCTTTTCGATTATAACTTGGGTAGACACATATCATTGGATTAAAAAAAAGTGAATACATTTCCACAGAGAAAGTTTTAATTTTTAAAAAATTCCAGCTCCTAAGCTTTATATCTTCTGTTACTAAAGTTTCAGCAAGGGCCTTGTGAGAATAAAATTTCCATGAACTTTAGCTGCCTTTGAAAAAATATTATTCACAATCCTATTCTAAAGGAGAATCAGTCAAGTGAAATTTGCAGAATATCCTTTTACTAGGAATGATAGCTTTCACCTTTTGCAAATATTTAATAGAGGCATATATTCCATCATTGAAGTTTGGGGATTCCTTATAGTTCTCCTGAATTTTCATGTGTCATATTAAACACGAGCTTTTTAATAGACTCGTACAAGGGACAATGATAAAAGCAATTCCTGCCCTGAAAAATGTATAGGGATTGCAGTCTAAAATCTTGTCCTGAAATGTCAGTTTGGAATTGTGTAGAGATGCATTGACCAATTGTAGACAGTGGGACACAGCGAGTGGAACTGGGACACAGATATAAATCTGCGTAGGAGATTCAAGGGAAAGGATTCTGGGAAAAGAAGGAAGTGCAGTGCTATCTACTTCACGAGCCTCTACCATTAAAGGAGTAGCAGGTATGGGGGTATTGGTTGAAGCCAAGGACATAGGCAGACAAGGTTCTTTGTGTAGATGTGATATCTTTTATTAGACCAGCTAGATCATTGGAAAATTGTTCTTTGCAAGCTTTCTGGCACAAACACCCTTCTTCAGAAATAGGGAGTCTGCTGGTGTTTTGTGTTCTGGGTGGAATAGAAGTCAATATGCAAAATGCGGGTTTGTGAAAATGCAAATGCATGGCAGTGAGGATCAGAGGTGATGGGAGACGATAGGTATGAGGACAGGGAGGTGGGGGGAAAGTGGGAATGTTGACCTGCTGATAGAATGTAGCTGGTAAAATGTAGAGAGGTTACCTGGGGTTATTGGATGGCAGGCAAGTTAATGTGCCATAAATCCAATGTCTATATTTAGTCCATGATTTTTTGTATCCAGTAGGTTTTTATGAAGCGAAGTTTGTAGTCTTGTCTACAAAAGGTGTTTTGTAAATTCCCTTTGAGGATTAGAACCGAGAGATTGGAGGGAAAGTGGTTGTCTTGTGAGAACTGTGCACCCACAGGTAATTGGGTATTTTTGTCTTTGATAGATTTGCAGTGTGCATTCATTCTGGTACGCAGCTGTTGTATTTAGTTGGTCTAATAAAAGTTATCACATTTACCCAAAGAACCTTGTCTGCCTGCAGCAGATGTGGGGGAGTCTATCCTAGATGGGGAGAGTGGAATAAGTGGTCTAGCAGGCAGATGCAGAAGGGTGCCTACTGGGAAACTGCAAAACCTTTTCCCAGATGTTCCTTATTCTCAACCTTACTATATCTCAAGGCAATTCCTGTTTTTTAAAGGATTTGCACCCTGGGCTTCTTTTCTTGACTTTAGCAGTTTGTTCTATACTGTGGTCATCATCTCAGCCCCAGGTACTTCTGGGCTAATTGTCCTTTTAAACTGCAATCTGTGACCTTTTGGTTCAGAACAAGCTTCTTTAACAAGGAACAAATCATGCCTTGGCACTGGTTCTTCTTCCTCTCCTCTGGATTGCACACAGGCCTAATAAATGGGCAAGCTTCTCCTTATAACTCACACCTCTCAATACAGTAAATGGAACAGATGCTTGTTTGACTTTTCTGCCACTTCTGACTACTGGATTTAGCTAACTCAGAGTTTGGAGGCAGATGATGCATGCTTTCTGATTGCATCTCCTGCTGACATCCTAACTTATGGCTATGGCTGTGAAGGTAGCAGGGACCCTTATCAGAAGAGTAAAAGAGCATGCCATGTCAACGTTCATTGAAGGTCGCAAAGATTTTTGAGCCAAACTAGAGAGATGGGATGGATATCCACACAGGCTTTTTCTTCTGTATGTATCAGTCACACTGGTCGTGTCTACATGAGACTCAGACTGCGCACTAGCTCATTACTACTGTGCAGTAGCATCCTGTAGCATAAAGCACCATGCATTGCTTTCTGCACAGTAGTAACAAGCTGCTGTGCAGTCAGCAGCACCAAAAAGCCATTTGGGGATGTAAACAACTTTATTACTTGTGTATGCAAACAACTGAGCAGTCACCATATTGTGTAGATGCGGCCACTGACCAGAAAAACTCTTGCTTGCAAGATAAGGTACTTACGTTCCTTTTTCTTTACTCCTATCAAATGCTTTACTTATTTATATATACATTTGTGTTGAAATTCTAGAATTACCTTTTTTTTAATTTTAGATGTTCTTTTAGGATGATACACTGGATCATCCTAGGTACTGGATGTTTGTAACCATTAACAATCTCATGATACATTTTCTCAGAGAACTGTTAACTCCAATGTGTTGGTTAACTTTCAACTAAGATAACAGAATTGTGCCAGCTAAAATCCTCTCACCTGTTCCCGGTGGATATACTACTAAGCAGTTTCTGCCTTACCCTGTACTGGTACTGTCTGATGTCAACGTGCTGCTGTTGTTCCACGCTAAATGTGGCTGCACTTCAGCACTGGATGAAGCGATCCTTATCTCAAGTTTGTAAATGAGACTATGAACATCTTGTGATCCTTCTGAATGAAAGTAGGTAATAACCGGAAGGTACTGTTATTATTCACACTCATCCAAACATGTGTGGCAGCAATATTTCAGGTAGTGATCAAAAGGGCTCTGCAGGTGCTGCATCAGAACATATGGTATGCTTCATTGAGACACACTTTCAAACAGTGCTTTCTGTGGAACTGCTTGAATAGCTTGCACAGATTATTTTAAAATGAATGAATAATGAAGAAAAATGTTCCCAGTAACAAGGTAATGCATCTACACAGGCAAAAATTATGAACACTAATTAAGACGATACTGAGATCCATGTCCAGAGCCAATTCCTCTTTTCATCTGGTATCCTGAACACTAGCACATCCTGAATTTCTAAATATGTACAAATGCAGCTGATGGATGGATGCTGACAATTCTGCTGGGAGTTAAAGGAAAATGTAGAGGTTAAAGAGAGGAAGTATTAGGAGAGGAGAGGATAGAGATGATAAAACAAGTTAATTCTGAACTATAAATATAGGATTGGATTTTGTTAATTTTTCTCATGTTAATTTCAGTAGGATTATACATAGTATAGGCATATGGAATCAGAACTATTACTGTAATTATTGTATAGAAGTATGTAAAAGGTGACTTAGTATCTCAAATGATTGGTACGAATTTATAGAATCTAAAAATTGTAGATGGTTGCTCCAAGTCTAATTCAAATTCAGAAGTAATGGAAATGACAAATTAAGGGAAGTGCTAGGATTCAGAGTGACCTAGACAAATTGGAGGATTGGGCCAAAAGGAATCTCATGAGGTTCAACAAGGACAAGTGCAAAGTCCTGCACTTAGGATGTAAGAACCCCATGCACCACTACAGGCTGGGACTGACTGGCTGGGTAGCAGCTATGCAGAAAAGGACCTGGGGGTTACAGTGGACAATAAGATGAATATAAGCCAGCAGTGTGCCCTTGTTGCCAAGAAAGCTAATGGCATACTGGGCTGCATTGGTAGGTGTATTGCTAGTAGGTTCATGGAAGTGATTATTGCCTTCTATTCAGCACTAGTGACGCCACATCTGGGGTGCTGTGTTCAGTTTTGGGCCCCCACTACAGACAGGATGTGGACAAATTGGGAAGTCCAGCAGAGGGCAACCAAAATGGTTTAGGGACCGGGGCACATAATTTATGGGCAGAGACTGAGGGAGCAGGGGTTATTTAGTCTAGAGAAGAGAAGACTGAGAGGGAATTTAATAGCAGCTTACAACTACCTGAAGCAGGGTTCAAAAGAAGAGGGAACTAGACTGTTCTCAGTGGTGGTAGATGGCAGAACAAGGAGCAACGGTCTCAAGTTGCAGCAAGGGAAGTTTAGTTTTGATATTAGTGAAAAAATTCTCACTAGGAGGGTAGTAAAACACTGGAACAGGTTACCCTGTTGTAGAGGTTGTGGAATCTTCATCTTTGGAAGTTTTTAAGACCCAGCTAGACAAAGTCTTGGCTGGGATGATCTAGTTGGGCATGGTCCTGCTTTGAGCAGGGGTTTGGATTAGATCACCTCCTGAGGTCCCTTCCAACCCTAATTTTCTCTGATTCTAAGTTATGCAGCAGTGAATTGCTTTGCTAGTTAATGTGCTTTACATACAGTGTTGATAAATACTGTTAAAGAACTGTTGTGTTCTATCCTATTGCATTATGATGGTCAGTGTTGTGATTTGTGCTGATGAGTAAGAGGAAAGATTTTCAGAGGCAGAAACAGCAGCTTTGTATCCATCCCCCACTAATAGCTAAAGGCAGCTGAGGGCCCAACTGCCATTGTTGCATTTGATAATCATTCCCAGGATTTCTGATTTCTGTAAAACAATGTGGTTCTATTAAAGTCAATAGAGTCATGCTGATACTCACCAGCTAAGCATCTGATGTTAAATAGCCTACAATGCTTTTGGAGAAGAAAATGTAAGATATAAAGTCATCACCGTCTTCCCAAGTCTTATAACTCCCAGTGGAAGTTGTGTTGGAAACATTAAAAGGAAACAAAAGTGGTGACACTTTTTTTTCTATGAAAGCTTTTATACCAGTTAAAGTAACTCAATTAACTGTTTAGAGCCATTAAAAAGTCTACACAAGAGTGTAATGAAAACTGCTCCATGAGACATTCTGGAGTTGGATCAGAATTCCAACAAATCTAATATGGCTCCTGTCTGTACTGCGAAATACAATTTATTTAAGCAATTAGTGGTAAGGGATACTATAAATTAAATCAATCTGGCAGCAACAGAAAGTTAATGTTGCTCTTCCACTGCCTCTTTCCTTTTCTGAACAGACTTTGAAGGAAGGCATACTTACAGTAAAAAGGTTATAATAATACACTAGACAAAATTCAGTTACTGAGCCCAAAACTGTTAGTATTCAGCATTCCTGGGTTTCCATAATGGACAGAACTATACATAGGATTTTTTCTCACATCCATTTAGTTTTTAAGTCAATTTGGGAATATTAAGAAGGGGATGATAGAAACAGAACTGGGAAAATAAATAGAACATTTCCACAATTTCCACTAGCTGTCTGTAGATTTATAATGTTGGCTTTGGCCTTTAGCTGTCAAAGATACTTGTATGGTTCTTATTATTGTTGCATCAGAACACCTCTCAATCTTTAATGTATTTATTCTTACGAGATGCTTTTAGTCACAGAAGTACTATTATCTCCTATTTACTGGGAATTGAGGAACAGATCATCAGGTTGCACATGCATATGTCTGTCTTGTAAGGAGGAAAAGTCTATAATTTATTTACATACTTTTGACATCATTCTTATTACCATGCAACTGGCACCTAAAGCTATAAAGACCAAAATCCCCTAAGCACCCCAGAATGCTTTGCAGCTTTGTGATTAGAGCCCTTCCCTGGAGTTTTTCTAACTTTAACCATGAAAATGTTGATCATTCTAAAGTCTGATTCTTTGTTTTTTCATCTATGAAACAACTGGGATTAGACACCTATGAGGATACTGTGTGGATAATGGTACCTACTTCCAGCCAGTTAAGCTAAATTTAATCTCTTTCCTTTATATTCTTGTCATACAAAGGATGGCTGCCCACTCCGCTGTTTTCTGCCTTCCCTTGTTTATGTATGAAGTTTATTATTTTTTATTCATGTCTTGCCTGGGGGACTGAGTTTCCAAGTCAGTACTGTGAGCTCTACTAAGGGTCAAGGTCAAATATCTTTTCAAATCTGGTCCTAAGTGACTTGCTGGGAGTCTTACAGGCAGTCTAAGACAGAGCAAGGAATTGAACCCAGCCTTCTAAACTTCATGTTCGTGCCTCAAACACTAAGGCCTTCTTTCCCTGAAGGCCTGCTCATGGGACCTGTGTGAAGCAGCTGGTATTTGCTTCAGATTCAACTGATTCAGGGGACAGTGTTTTCATAGAATCATAGAAGGAGGGTCGGACGGGACCTTGTAGATCTT